CTCTCCTCCAGTTGAGGGAGGGAGGGGATCCCCTGGAGGGGAGGGCCGAGGACTTTGCTCAATATCTGTATGACAAAGTCGCTCAGATCCGAGAAGGCCTTGACTCTGACTGGGTGGCCCCGGGGGAGGAGACGGGAGCAGGTCTTGAGACTGTTGTATGGGAGGAGTTTGACTCTGTGGCCCCCGAGGACGTGGACAGACTCCTGGGGAGGCTGAATGCAACCACATGCCTATTGGATCCGTGTCCCTCCTGGCTGGTACTGGCTGCCCGGGAGGGTACACGAGCCTGGCTCCAGGGAATTATAAACGCTTCTTTATGGGAGGGGGTCCTCCCCGCAGCCTTAAAGGAGGTGGTAGTGAGGCCCCTCCTTAAGAAGCCTTCCCTGGACCCAGATGTATTGGCTAACTACCGCCCGGTCTCCAACCTTCGCTTTGTGGCGAAGGTTGTTGAGAGTGTGGTTGCGCAGCAATTCCCCCGGCACCTGGAGGAAACAGTCTATCTGGATCCGCTCCAGTCGGGCTTCAGGCCGGGATACAGCACGGAAACGGCATTGGTCGCACTGGTTAATGATCTCTGGAGGGCCCAGGACAGGGGGTATTCCTCTGTCCTAGTTCTTTTGGACCTCTCAGCGGCTTTTGATACTGTGGACCACAGTATCATGCTGCGGCGCTTGGTGGAGTTGGGAGTGGGAGGCACCGTTATGCGGTGGTTCTCCTTCCTCACCGACCGCACGCAGTCTGTATTGGCAGGGGGACAGAGGTCGACCCCAAGGCCCCTAACTTGTGGGGTGTCACAAGGGTCGGTCCTCTCCCCCCTATTGTTCAATATTTATGTGAAGCCGCTGGGTGAGATCATTCGTGGCTTTGGGGTGGATTTCCATCAGTACGCTGACGATACTCAGCTGTACATTTCCACCCCAGGCCACCCCAATGATGCCCTTGACATGATGGCCCGGTGCCTGGAGGCCGTACGGGTCTGGATGGGGAGAAACAGACTCAGACTCAACCCTTCCAAGACTGAGTGGCTGTGGTTGCCGGCTCCCAGGCATAGTCAGCTGACTCCGTCGCTGACTATAGGGGGTGAAATTTTGGCTCCCTCAGAGAGGGTGCGCAATCTGGGTGTCCTCCTGGATCCACGGCTGACACTAGAAGATCAATTGACGGCCGTGGCCAGGGGGGCGTTTTACCGGGTACGCCTGGTTCGCCAGTTGCGGCCTTTTCTGGACCGGGATGCCTTGCGCACAATTACCCAC